CTTCGATGTGCGGTGGTGTAACGAAAAATGAATGGCTCGGAATTGTTAATCAGAGAACTAAACTCTCGTATGATCACTGAAGATAAGCAACGTTGAGTCTGGTCAGTACCTAGATGGGTGACCGCTTGGGAATATCAGGTGAAGTAAGCTTGGATGTGCGGGTGGTGTAATAGATAATGGTCCGTAAGTGTTAATCGGAGATCCGAGTTTCAGTTATCGAGTTAGTTATATCCACCTATGTACGAATACCCTTTGGAAGGTTATGAATCCATCTCTTCTCCCCCAGCCATGGGTTAATTAGTAAGACTTGTATTACTATATCATTATTATCTCAAGAAAATTCTTAGAATCCAAAAATAGTTTTTGGCTTTAAATAACCTAGAAAAGGGCCGATGAAAAGCGATTTTTTTTTATTTCTCATATTAATGTGAGTTTTTTTTTTTTTCCTTGACAATCATGAACGTTTTACCTTTTAAGATATTTTATGGAGAGTGTGAGGGTTGTCGACACAGAAAATGGTATCTGTTTATCGGGTTCAAATTGTAACCGTGTGTTGCTTTCATTTCGCGGTAAAGCTGCTGGGAAAATTCCTGGATCTATCTTACTCCAGCTATGGATTAAATAATTTGTCAAGTTGCTCTGTGTCACAACCGTTCTAAGAAAAGGCGAGAAATGAATTCAAACTACCTTAAATAATAGAGCAGATTCAGCTCTTTAAACTTGACATAGCAACTAGAATCGTTAAAATAAATAAATAAAAAAACGAAGAGAAATGGGCTTTGTAAGTTTTCTGGACGTAGATACAACCGCTATTGTTACGGATGCAGCACATATAGTCTACCAAACATCCTAATCATTACAGATATTTAATTTAACTTAAGCAGATAAAATTGAGTTGACCTATCAACTCCAGTCTCCGTGCTGGCAGCCGAGTGGCTTGTGAGGATATCAATGGACGTTTGAACTGCTAAACGAGTCTTGAAAGCGACATGAGTGATGCGATGTCCGCTTTCACAAATAAAATCGTCTCTTACATGATTTGAAAGAGGTAGGCCGGCGCATTACACACGTTAGGTCTCTTCAGTTCTGTTAGCAGCGGAGCATGGAATCGTGACCGGCGTCATAAGACGTGACGGGGCAAATGTATCCACACATGTCCCATATGAGGCTTTCAAATCGACTGAATAGCAATACGGTCAATAGATCGAGACACTTTTCACCGCTGCGGTTAATCACTGACGCTTCCAGGATGGCTGGTAAATCCGTCTTGTTGAAACTCTCCTGGTGGAATAAGCGACAGGATCATTTAACACGTGAAAGGAAGTAAAGGCCCTTGATGTCGACAATGCTCACCTATCTGAAATATAAAAGTGATTCCGGCAACTTAGGTAGCATGTGATAAAGCGTTATTTATCAGACGGATATATGCTTGTTATTTATACTTTTATTTTATTTTTGTTTTTTAAAGTCAAGGCTTAGTAACCACAGCTTAACTAGAAAATTCATGGCCATATTTATATAAAGGAATTTTCCCCTTCCGGTAACCATGGAGTTCTTCCGCATCAATGAGAGACGGAGATAGATAGATAGATAGATAGATAGATAGATAGATAGATAGATAGATAGATAGATAGATAGATACTAAGAAAGAAAGAAAGAAAGAAACAAACAAACAAACAAACAAACAAACAAATAAATTGACTAAGATAGATAGATAGATAGATACTAAGAAAGAAAGAAAGAAAGAAAGAAAGAAAGAAAGAAAGAAAGAGACTAAGATAAATAGATAGATTATGAGAAAAAAGAAAGGGGCTAGAATAGATAGATAGATAGATAGATAGATAGATAGATAGATAGATAGATAGATAGATAGATAATGAAAAAAAGAAACGGGATAGATTAACTTGAAAATTCATGGCCATATTTATATAAAGGAATTTTCCCCTTCCGGTAACCATGGAGTTCTTCCGCATCAATGAGAGACGGAGATAGATAGATAGATAGATAGATAGATAGATAGATAGATAGATAGATAGATACTAAGAAAGAAAGAAAGAAAGAAAGAAAGAAAGAAAGAAAGAAAGAAAAGAAAGATTATGAGAAAAACGAAAGGGGCTAGAATAGATAGATAGATAGATAGATAGATAGATAGATAATGAAAAAAGAAACGGGATAGATAGATAGATAGATAGATAGATAGATAGATAGATAGATAGATAGATAGATAGATAAAAAAAGAAACGGGATAGATAGATAGATAGATAGATAGATAGATAGATAGATAGATAGATAGATAGATAGATAGATAATGAAAAAAGAAACGGGATAGATAGATAGATAGATAGATAGATAGATAGATAGATAGATAATGAAAAAAAGAAACGGGATAGATAGATAGATAGATAGATAGATAGATAGATAGATAGAAAAAGAAAATGGATAGATAGAGAGAGAGAGAGAGAGAGAGAGAGACTGCATACCTCTGCGTATGGTAAAGGAGGCATCAACTTAACTTTCTCATCTCTCTTAGAGTCGCGAATTAATTTCCCATTCTGCATCTTCCAATTTGTACACATGGCGTTTCTGTCAAATTTTTCGTGTTTTCGCCATTGATTTCACCAAGTGAATGCGCATGCACTGAAGTCATAAAACTTCAAGTCCATTGGCTGGTTTGCATCAAAACGGAAGTGAATCGACATGCACATTGCAATTTGCCAAAACAGCAATATCAGAGAAACACGAATAAAATGCACAAAAGCGTCGTGTAGGGAAAAAAAAAAAAAAAAAAATAGATATTGACGTTTTTTTACAGCTTCGTCACGAAGAGCTTTATACCAGTCATCTATAATTTAAATTGATCCTATTGTAATTGCTTGTTGCGTTACTTTTTTCGGTCTCCTTGAATACAATACGAAAAGGGCTCCCTGTAAATGTATTAGGTTGATGTTAAAAGATCGCATCATTTGTCAAAAATCCCTTATTCATGTACACCATTACAGACGCTTCTACGAAAGATTGTATCGCTGAATAAAGATTACTGGACAGGGTTGGGTTTAGATACGTTCTTGATATGTTGTTTTTAATAGAGGCACGATACAAACGAAGCTGGTATACATTACCAAACGATTGATGTGTAAAGTTTTCAAGAAATATGTTTGTAAAGAGTAGATTGCTTGAGTAAACTTCATATAGTTACTACACAGATATACTTGAGCTGCTAGTAAAACATCATATATTTCGGAAATATGTAAGAATAATACTGTATATATATTGAAAACAGCATCCTTCTGTAGAACCACACCTGCATCTTTCTTTCTTTCTTTTTATGTGCCATGTCTTTTCAGTACTTAAGTGATCATGCCTCTCCACTTCCCTCTATCCCTTGAAGCTCTCAACAAGTTCCTTCTCTCTGCTTCCTCCCCCAGACCATGTTCTGTCATCCACTTGCTTAAGTCCGACAGGTATGTCAGGCATTGTTTTCCCTTGTCTCTCTTTCCCTCTATTCGACTTGTGTGTATCAGATTCACCAGGCCCTTCTTCCTCATTATGGGTCTCAGAAACTTCAGCTGCCTCTTTCTGATGTTAATTATAAACCTCTTCCTTGTTTGCAACCTATCTAAGACGTCGTCTTTGCTCACACGCTTGCTCCATAATATCCTTAGCATTTTTCTGTAGAACCACACCTCCGTCACCTTGAGTCTCTTCATCCTTGAGGAAATCGTCCAACATTCGCCGACGTAAAGAAGGACAGATGTCATGTAACAGCTCAGTATTGTTTTATTTGTTACCAAAGAAATCCTCCTATCTTGTAATACAATGCTCAACTTTTGGAATGTGCCCTTGGCCATCCCAATACGTCTACGGATCTCAGTGTCGCACTTACTGCACAGATAGAAAATGAATTGACCAAATACACAGTACAGAAACAAACATAAGACAAGGATTGGTTTCCTCACCAGATTTATTTAACCTTTACTATGATTGCTGGGTTGGTTGGTTGGTTCGTTTGTTTATTGCGGCCTATCAACTGCTTGCAAGTTATTAAAAGCAAAGAAATGATAGTACTTGATACAAATCGGTGGTGAATGCGTGTGAGTAAAGACAAAAAAAATAACTGAATGATGTTTTCGGATCCCCATATGTAGAAGTCGACGAAAGAGTTTATCATTATATATATGCAGGATGATTGAAAATTGACGCCTTATTCTAAAATACTTATAATTTATTCGTTAACTATAACTTTTAACAAAAAAACGATATGAGAGGAAAACGTTTGGTATGCGCTTTTATTTAAAATTCGATATGGGCACCAGATTTCGCTACGGGCTTCTCGGGCCGCCCAGAAATCATGCCAACTTATTTAACCAGGAACTCTTGTGGTATGGAAGAGATAACTCCTTGAGTTCGCTCTTTAAGTTTTTACAAAGTCTAGGTTTGGTATAGTAGCCATGCTCCTTTAACGAACCACAAAGAAAAAAGTCACAGCGCGTTAAGTCAGGACGCACGTGTTTAAAGAAACGTCCGTTTTTTTTGCCTTGTTTTGTTTTAGTTTTATGTACCAAAAGTTTCTTTATTTATTAAAGATTCTCTAAAAACTCACAGTAGGTAGATGAAAATATACTATGTAAAAAAAATAAAGAAAACAAATAGGTTTGTTTTGTTTTTCGGCATATCAACCTCAATGGGTTATTTAATGCCAACAAGATGTTTATATTTTTTCCAAAAATGTATTTCTGGTAATATTTTTTTCATCAAAAATGTATTGTTTGGTAATAATGTATTGCTGGTAATAATTATTTACAAAAATGTATTGCTGGTAATAATTTTCCCTTCAAAAATGTATTGCCGGTAATATTTTTTTCCTTCAAAATTGTATTCCTGGTAATATTTTTTTCCTCGGAAATGTATTGATGGTAATAATATATTGATGATAATAATTATTTACAAAAAATGTATTGCTGGTAATATTTTTTCTTCAAAATGTATTGCCGGTAATATTT